TTAGGGTTTAGGGTTCAGGGGAGATGAGGGTTGAGGGTTTGTTTACGAGTAGGGTGCAGTGTAGTGTCGTGTAGCTTAGTGTCGTGTCGTGTAGTGTAGCATAGCAGAGCATGGCACAGCACGGCACAGCATAGCATAATGGCATAGCGTGTTATCGTATAGCTGGCCGTTTGATTCTGCAGCATGCGCATACCCAAAATCTCATGTTTTACATAGTATATCCGCTGCGAACGTCGACAAGGCTCTGCGTGAAATGAGCCGGGTTGCTGTCGGTGTTGCGGACACCTCCATTGTATTGGGCAGAGCTGGTGCTCGGCGCAGGTGGCACCACCTGCAAGACCAAGCAAGACATGGGCCAAAGAACCAAAACTCTAAACCTTCGGTTCTAAACCCTAACACCGCAAGAGCCACATCACTAAACCCCAAAACCTTGCCCGAAACCCACAAAAAATCCCTCTCAGCACCTGCTCTCGCTCTCTCTGGCAGTCTGCTCACCCCCCCACAGGCCTGGGCCATGGCTGCACCAGGGCTTTGGGGCCTGCGCGGTCAACGCCCGTGAGAGCTATAGAGGTTAGGGTTTAGGGCTTGGGGTTTAGGGTTTGTTTTTAAATGCAGTAGCCCCCTTTCTCCCGCAAGAAGTCAGAAGACTCGCTCCGTAGAGCGTGCACGTTTAGGGTTTAGGGTTTAGGGCTTGGGGCTTACGCGGTTTAGGGTTTAGGGCTTGGGGCTTAGGCGGTTTAGGGTTCAGGGTTTGGAGTTCGAGGTAGGGTTAAGGGTCAATGTGATGCGTTCCATAAGGGCTGCTATGAAGGCTGCTATACCCTTATCAGGGCGACTAGAAGGGTTAGTAGAAGGGTTCCTATGAAGGTTACGATGAGGAGTACTGCGAGGGTTACTATAACGGTTCTGTGGGTTAGGATAATATTGGTTCCACAAGGGTTGCTAGAGTGTTTACCATAAGGGTTCTTTTCGGATTATAAGGGGGGTTGTTTATGCTACTACTGCTACTAGAGGGAGTACTGCAGGGATTACTTTAGAAGGGTGTTCGAAAAAGCGTCTGGCGCCTAAGGGTTTAGGATTTAGAATTAGGGTCATTTTAGAGCGATTTACAGTGATCTGCAGGCCAAACCTACGAAAATGTTCTAGGGTTCGAATCTTCAACCCCAGATGCCTGCGCTCCACCGGGCGCTTTGGCGGCTCTGCTGCGACGTCTCCTGACGCGACGACACCCTAAACCCCAAACCCTAGAGCCTTGAACCCTAAGCCCCGACCCCTAAAACCTAAGCCCTATACTTTATACATGGAGGATCATGGGACTTAGTAACTAGGGTTATAAATAAGGTAACTATACTTATCTTACTTACTAAATCCCATGATCCTCCAAGTACCCTAAACCCGAAGCCCCGACCCCTAAAACCTAAGCCCTAAACCCGAAGCCCCAAACCCTGGAACCTTAAACCCTGACCCCTAAAGCCTAAGCCCAAGACCCTAAACCCTAAACCCGAAGCCCCAAACCCAAACCCCAAACTGAAAAAAACCGTTTCAAACCCTCAACCCTAAACCCTAAACCCTAAACCCTAAACCCTAAACCCTAAACCCTAAACCCGAATGCAGAGCCAAGGAGCCCAAAGCTTCGCCGGAAGGCCCCCGCCCGAGCCGCTCCAAACGCTCCAGGCGCTCAACGGCGGCAAAGGCTGCCGCCTTTGCTTCGGCCTCGGAGAACAGAGGCTTTAGGCTTTAGGCTTTAGGGTTGAGGCTTTAGGGTTTTGGGTTTTGGGTTTAGGGTTTAGGGTTTAGGGTTTTGGGTTTAGGGTTTAGGGTTTTGGGCTTAGGGTTTAGGGTGCAAGCAAGAAGACTGCTGCAAAAGAGACAGCGTGAATTCGTCCTGTCCGATGCACGCCAGCTTGCTGAAGGCTGACTCGGATCTCTTTCCACCGTCGATCCTCTGAGTCGCAGCTGCGCGAGTGAGCGTTAGTCGATGTTCGCAGCCAGCTTCTGTGGCTGCCCAGCATGAATTCGGAACTCAAACATCCGAGCTCGGTCGAGCCTCAGCGACACCAAGGACACACTGCGGAAAAGAAGCCACACCTGTGTCCCAAGAGCACAAGCTTGATCATGTGCTCGAAAGAAGGTACTGTACTGGCTGCAATGCTTGAGGCAGCTGTTGACACACGTAGGGGCAAACCCAGGCGTGCACAAAGCCGCCACTCAGCGGCTCAGTGGCTATGACTCATGCCACTACTGTACTTGGAGGATCATGGGGCTTAGTAACTAGGGTTATAAATAAGCTAACTATACTTATAAGTAATTGTAACCCCAATTAGGGTAGTTATAACCTTACTTACTAAGTCCCATGATCCTCCAAGTAGACAGCTCAAGCATGGATAGTGTCGCAATGCTCCCTGAGGAAGAGCAGACACGAGGCTGGCATGGAAGAGGCGATGAGAAGCCAGGCCTGTGTCAGAAGGCAAGATCATTACGACTCGTCCTTGCTAGCTACCTAGAGAACCCAATACAGCTTAATTAAGGAATATACCTTGAATTATAGGGCCCTTGATATTATATTTAGAGTATATTCCTCAATAAGGGGAATTGGGTTCTCTGGGTAACAACATAGTGCTAAATGCCAATCCAAACGCCAGTGAGGCAACTGGAGGTACTGTACTTTCTAAGTGCCCATCTGTTGGGCGACTGTGAATTCGGCAACTGCATGTGGCATGCGGGCACAGCAATGCCACGGAAAATGGTACTGTGCATCGCGCATGTGCTACGCTGCCTGGTGATTAGCCCAGTCGTCAGTGCGAGGTGGCTAGACTGACGAGTGAACTTAAAGACACTAGCCTGCCGTCTGTCAAGTCGTGACTGGACGCTGCTCGAGCTTCAGCCTCAGATGCAAAGTCCAAAATCGAGTGGCCATCCACAACCCTTGCGGATTGAAAGCCAGGAAGATTCTGCATCTCGTCTGTGACACCGACCGGCATCTTCGAGACTGCCATGCACGCTTTGGACAGCTCCAGCTCTGCCTCAACGTCCTCCTCCTCTTCCATGTCCCCCAGGACGAAACAAACCAAATCGGTGATGATCACGTTCGTCAAACAGAAGTCTGCATGCATCATTGACCAGAGCCAGGGTCCGTCCAGATGGTGGATCACACTCTGAACATCAAGACTCATGATCCAGGACTGCCGTCCAAGGAAGCAGCCCACCAGGAAGCAGTACAGCGTGAGCCACCCAAAATAGAACCAAGTCTCACTTCGTGTCTTTCCGGCACTTATGATCCTGAGGGAGGGGAGAAGCCAGAAGACGTAGATGATCGCCTGCGACTGAGAGTCTTCGGTGAGCTGTGTGAAAAACAGCAGTGGGAATATGGTCACGAAGGGGATCAGGAACGCTACCAACCACATCCCGGTATGCAACGCACGCTTGTTGCGCATCTCTGGCCGAATCGTGATGAACCACAGGCCTCGCACTGCGGAGATGGGAACCGTGAGCAAAACCCCGAAGATTTGCAAGCCCAGCGGCACTGCAAAGGTCATGCCAAGTGTGCCCGAGACCGCAAACTCCATCAAGCGATCAAACTCCGGCCCGCAGCCCCTGAACGCTTCTGTGAGGTTGGTCATCTTGGCATAGTTCGGGACGAGAACACTCAAGCCCGACATCACCGCAACGGCACCCGCGGCAAAGCTGAAAGCTTGGCTGGTATGCTTCCGGCTCTGTAACTCGCAAGACAGGGAGGCAAGAATCAGGATCCAAAGCAGCGCCTGCAACACCAAGGACAGTGACAGGCACCAGTCATATGCCAAGAATGGGTCGTCAAGCACTGTCCTGCTGCTGCCTGCCTGGAAACCGTGTTCTGTAAGATATGCATGAAAGTCCTGGAGCCCTACCTGCATCGCAACTCGACTCTGCAAGAGGCCCCAAGCATGCGGGAAGCTGTCTCTCCACATCAGCGTGCGCACAAAGCCCAGCAAGCCATGCAATAGTCCAAAGAGCAAGAACTCTTTCCTGTACTCCCCCCAGGTTTCTTGGCACTCGACGTCTAACCATCCAGCAATGCCGGCCCAGGACTGTCTCAACTCCTTTTCGGCTCTCTTCCATTCCACCGAACACAAACGAACATAGTTTGCGATTGCCTGTTGGCACTCGCCCTCTTGATCCTCCCTCCCCTCGTACTCACTCAACAAGCTCAGCAGCGGCTCATCACTTGACATGTCTTCTGAACTGGGTGCCTCTATGTACTCCATGCAGCACCGCGCTCTCATGGTGCACATGTCAAGCGTCCTCTGCAATCTCGCGGGTCCACCACCAGCGTGGGCATAATGGAGGGTCACCCATCCGGCAAAGAAGCAGATGCTCAAAAGGATAGCAAAGCTGCACCAACTGAAGCTGGCCCCGCTCAAGACAACTTTCGGCACCTCCCTCAAATCTCGGTCAAACGCTTCGTTGGACGTCAGAAACCATTTGAATAAAAGCATGTGGCCGTCCATCTCAGCATTGAAGAAAGAGGACTGAAAACCTGCTCAAGGCTACAAAAAAAGCTCCCAACATGCATGGCTAGGAATGCGCCGTTCTCCTAGCGACACCTACTTGGAGGATCATGGGACTTAGTAACTAGGGTTATACATAAGGCAACTATACTTATAAGTAATTATAACCCCACCTAAGGTAGTTATAACCTTACTTACTAAGTCCCATGATCCAAGTAGGCCCTAAACCCTAGACCTTATAGAGCCCTTATATATAACCCTTTAGGAGCCCTTTAAGGGTGCCTTTAAGTTACTAAGTCCCATGATCCTCCAAGTAGTGTGTCATAGTGCGTGGATGAACGGTGCGAATCCTGCAAGGCGACTCCTGTGAAGCACGCGCTAGTAGGATATATGATAGAGTATACAGTATACAACAAACTATATACTATAATTACTATAGCCTAGGATACAGTATGCAACAGTGGTCGGTCAAGAGTCCGGAACTCTGCAGGTTTAGGGCTTGAAGTGCGCTTCCTTGCATTGCGTTGAGCTCTTCGGTTTGCTCGGCGAGACACTTGAAACGGAAGCACCATTTGGCCTGCTGCGTGCTTACTTAGATGCTGGCTCAACCATCGTACTCAGCTGGCTACACGGCCAAAGCCTGAAACCCACCCCGGCTAGCTATCTGCTTACCTACTTGGAGGATCATGGGACTTAGTAAGTAAGGTTATAACTACCTTAATTGGGGTTATATTTTCTTATAAGTATAGATACCTTAATTTATAACCCTAGTTACTAAGTCCCATGTTCCTCCAAGTAGGGTCTTGCATCCTTAGTAAGCTATTCCGGTGCCGGCTCCGTGAAGCAAAGTCACGAGCAATTTGGTCGTGATTGCCTGGTCTGGTAGAAGCGGTAACTTCTTCCCACAGTTTTGGGTAGAACATATCAAGCAAGCTTCTGCATATAACTTGCACCGCCACATGACTGAACAGTTTTGCCTCTACGCAGAACCAAGAGAACCTGAAGCAGCATCTCGCAGCATGCATGAGAGTCCAAACCAAATCGAAACCTCGTGCCTAGGGCTTCATATCGTAATTTACTTCTAGAGAATTGCCTCGGCATGGTTCCCATACCCCGAACACTTCGGAGCAGTCGGCCTAGCTGAATCACCTTGATGAGATGATAGAAGAATGATACCACGGCATCCATCTCCAGGAACCACACGAGCCACGGAAAGAAACACTCCCACCATGCACTCCACGTCTGCTGTGAGATCTGCGAAAACGTCCACGAAGAAGTCGTGCAAACATGCATAATCCGCTTGGCCCATTTGGAATCGAAAGCCCAGCCGGGGTGGGAGGCAGCTATCTTTATCTGAGCAGCCAACACTTGACCAGCTTTCTTGTCGTAAGCCGTGTCGTACAACAACATGTAGGCACTGCTAGAAACAAACCACATGTTCGACATGTACATGGAACAAGTAAAGCAACTGCTCAACTGCCCCAGCGATGCTTCCGCTCCAGATGTGCCAAGAGCTGCCAGAGCATTGTTGGACGACATCCACAGAAGCACTGCAGGAAGAAAAGAACAGCCAAGATATGCAGACCCCATGGGCAGAATGGACAGCGAGATCAGGTGACTCCTGGTGCATGGCACTGCAAACAGCGGACGGCAAATTCCCATGATCCCCCACGCAAGCCACCACTGGGCGCTTCCTCCCAGGATTTGGTAGGCGATGACTAAAGGTCCCAAAATCGCAGCATTCGAAAGGAGCTCAATGATGAGGGTGCATAGTGTTCCTGTGCTTTCGACATGTGCATGCCAAGTGTCGCCACCGTGTTTGTATACGAAGATCAGGATTCCAAGGAACACTGCAGGAGGAAAGGATGCTAGGAAAAAGACGAAATACAGCCCGATGAGGGACACGACCATTGCTGTGAAGCTGCAACCCAACAACGCTCCAGTGGTGTGGTGAATCTGTGCCTGGCCCACGTTGAACAGATCCTCGATAAGATGCAGCGGGGAGGTGGGAAAGTACGTTTCCGAAGAGTCATCGACCACTGCAGCAAGTTCACGGCCTAGAAAAAGCATCATTGGCATGCCGACCAAGAGCCAGAACTGCGAAAGCACAACCATTGCACCAAAGCACCAATGGGTTATCGCTTCCTTATGGCTTTCCTTCAAGTCCCCCCTCGTGAACCCTCGCCAGATGAAAGCGCAAATGTCTGCCCACCACGGCAAGATCATCATTTCCACCAGAATCACAAAGACAGCACGGTCTGTCCTATCCTGGAATTGCTCAGCAACAGACTCCACGCTTGTGCTCTGGGGAGTGCCCAAGGCCGAAAGTGCAGAAGCTGTGAATCCTTTGAAGGGACCGTGCTCACTCCAGCTCAACGAAAGAATTGATAGCACCAGCGCAGAGACTGCACACATGGGCGACTGGCGTCTTGCAAGAATCAAGGCGAGCGAAACCAACAAAGGCAACACGGTTGCAAGCTTCGGGTGGTGTTCATGGCACCTGAAAACGAGCCGGTAGCACCAATGGGTCAACGAGAAACTACTTTCTGGAGCCGCGAAGGAGGTCTCAGAGGCCCATACATCTCCAGAGAAGACCACGAAGCCCCTGTCATGCTGGGCTGCTTCGAGCTTGATATTCTCGCAACTTCCATGTCCTTCATGCGCGTTGCATGGGATGTATCTTGCTAGCCACTCAGGAAGAGTCAGTGCCAGATCCTGAAGACGCTGATTGACATCAGGGACAAAGTGAGCCATCACGGCCGTTTCCGCAGATTGCGAGACGGGGACACTTGGATGTTTCAAGTGCAACCCCCGCACAGTGAGCCGATCTCTTATGCGCAAGGCCACCCAAATCGACAGCGACCGAGTTGCTCCTTTCTTGCCTTTCACGGTGACTGCACCCTGGAAATGATCCAACGACGCCGCCAGCAAGGGCTGGACTCTGCCATCACAATGTGCAGTGGTATTCGAACCCTCCATCGACAGCACGAAGGAATCATGGCTCGTGGGATTGTGTGGAACCTCTGTAAGTTGGATCCCTCCGATTTCGAAGCTGTAGTTTAGTCTTGCATCACGAACGGCTGTTGAAGCCTTCGATGTGTGCCGCTTCAGATGTCCCGACTGCACCCCGAGAATTGCTTCAAAGAGCTGTGCAGACATGCGAACATTCCCGCTTTCGTGGGAAAGGGTTGTGGGCATGCTGTGCCCGCAGCTACGTTCCAGCTTGCCGGTGCTCACTTTCCATATTGTTCTGATATCGCTGGAAAGGGAAACTTCTGACAAAGGTTTCCGGCTCGCTCGGAAGGTCTTCCGAACAAGTACCTGCTTGCCCAGAACGCTCCCCCTGCCCAACGAGATTTCCTGCTCGCTCATCTGCAGCCAAAAATGCTGGCCTTGTGCATTGCCTTGAAATCGTGCATCTGGATGCCGTGTATCCTGCAGGAAGCGAGGAAGAAAGGGTACCCATTGTGGTACCCATGCTACCCAGACGGGTGTCGGGGTGCTGCTTGTGCCATGGTCGTTGACTCTCAGGGATGCCTCGACTGATCCAGCATGCTCTTCAATTTCGACAGTGGCCTCCATGACCGCGACGGGCACGTGCGAGTCCCCACGGAAAGAACGGAAAGAAAAGACCAGGCTCCTGATGGAGCCAAGCGTGACAGGCTCACCTTTGACGGACTCGTGCATAGTGAACGACTCCCTTTCGTGGCATTGCTTGCGCAGTGCTTGTTGAAACGCGCTTACTGCAAACAAGCCCGCGGCATCGTCCTGGGCACATGCAAGGATGGATCCAGATACTGTTGGAACTCCATCAGGTTGGAGTGTAATCCTAGGTGTCTGGAACTCAAAAAACAGGCGACTTCCGAAAGGCAAGTTCAGAGCGTGTCGTAGCTGACGGTCGTGGCGGTTCCAACTTGTCAGCATGTGGTGCTGCAAGGTGTCGATAGTGCTATGCACGTTGAAATGCTTGATGGCATTCAAGTATTCCAAGCATTCACCGGTTGTTACTTCACGTTCTATGCCTGCCGGCTCCCAACGCAGTTGCCTCGTTGCAAGATTGAACGACGCTTTCAGCACAACTGTCGCCGAATATTTCCCAGTGCCGTCACAGCCCGTCTTGACCGTGTATGAACGCCTGTATGTATTTTTGCCGTCACATACTGTATCAAACTCCTCTTTCAACCCAGAGTGAGCTCTTTGTTGGGCCGATACCGTCACGGGAATGCTAAGGCGAGGCTCTGCACGGCTGGGATCCAGGGAGACCCTGCGGCCCTCCAAGTAAGTGATCTGAGCCGAAGGCTGGGAAGCATGCGACACCGTCTTCGGGAGATCCTTCAGAAAATGAAAGTAAGCTGGCAGGTTCCTCGGTGTCGTGTGAGCTTTGCACAACCCTGAAGAGCTTTATCAAAGCTCCTACAGACTGCCGTGTGCTGTGGTGTTCAAAGACATCTTCTCTGAACGACCACCTGTTTGCAGGGGGGTTGTTTAGCAAACCGACAGCACTCACCATGCCAATTTGCCCTGAAGTGCCAAAGCAACGCCCCCAAATCTAAGCCCTTAAACACAGAACATTTCAGTGGCCACTGCACCGCGGCCGACGCCATGAAACTTTCAACTATATTATGTGACCAACGTGAGAACCCTGCCCCAAGCTGTGTGACAATTTTCAAGTTCATAAGGTTCCAGCTACAACTTTCTACGAATAAGGACTGATAACTACTAATAACTACTAAGAGCTACTAAAACTACGAAGCGGTCAAGCTTGCCCAGCGTCTCGTTGAGCTCCTTCTCGGTCTTCACGTAAGTTGCCGCTTCGAAGGTGTTCTCCAAGCTGCAGGGCCAGGCGGGCCAGGCCCCCGCCATCGTGAGCATCAGGAAGATCATCAGGGTCATGACGTCAACCGCTAGACAAGAAACCAAGCACTGTTGAAAAATGCGAAACCCCCTGCCTACCTAGTGCCTGCATGTTCCCCTGAGAACAAGCCACTAAGGTTGGGTTT